TAAGTGATTGCTGCGGCCCATAGACATCTACATCTATCCTCGATTACAAATAAAAATGCAGATGCGTTGTCACCCGTGAGGACTAGGATGGAATGCCTCGTTTCCAGTAAAAAGGGTCTCCAGTTCTCTACACTCACCATACGAAATACAGCATCATTAAGCTACTATCTCACGCTGGTATTCTGTGAGAGCGTGGTCCCTCCCCGGTCGAGCCGACCCTTTCGTGCTACAACTATACTACTAATATAACTGCAGCATGGCTCTACCACGTATAAAAAATTACATTAACATATACTTACACATACTATACATATACTTAAGCATACATATTCATCTGAATGCGTAGGTATTATTTATGGATAAGGCCGTCGATTTTGCCACCTAGTAACATACAGTAACATAGACACTTCTATGTTACTGTAACATAGAAGTAACCTTCACATTAAATATAAAAATATTAATCGGGTTTTTTATTACTTTACACGATGAAAACTTTTACAAAAAGGTTGATATTTTTATAAGGTTGCTATGCCAACAAAAAGTATATTTAATAAGTTAGAATATGCACGAACCATTACAACAGTAAAACGTTACAAAACATACTATCAACGTTACCAGTAACATCAAAGTTACATAGAAGTAACGTTAAAGCGCGATTTTTCAAGGTTATAAATAGACATAACTCGACCCTTTACCCTTATAAGATATAATTTATATATTAAATAATTTTTAGTGGTTGTGTAACTATATCGACTACGCCATATCGTTTCATGGGTGTTGTTAGATGCAACAGAAGTAAACTGCAACAGGAGATGGGCAGCTGCATCTTCCTGGTAACAACTCAAAATGATAAATAGCTGTATTTGTCAACTCATTTATCAAACGTGGCATCTATGGGAATAACCCTATCATAACTTTTATTGGCTTTTTTTTTTTTTTGTACATGGGGAAATGCCTACGCATACCCGCCTCGCGGGGGCAAGGACGGGTTATGTCGGACTCGCACCGACTAAAACCCCATGGTGTTCCACCTTTGTCGCTATTGGCAGGGCCACGGGAACGCTTTCGCACACATCCGCAGCCCCACCAGCGCCTGCCGCCCCATGGCAGCACCTCCTCGGGAGCGGAATATTCCACCCCGTTCTCCTTCACAGGTAAGGCGCACCAGAACACATGGCGCGCCTTCCTTCTCGGTCTCTAATTACATCTGCGCAACGGATGCCCCCGCGTCCAATGCAAGAAGGCCATGGGGCCAGGGAAAAACAAGCACTTAGAAGTACTAGCCTTCCCGACCCCAGCGGCGGATCTGGTCTATGGCTCCGCCGCCAACCAAGATTCGGCTGCGGAGGGTAGGGAGAGCGGCGCCTCGCAATACCGACAATCCTCTCCCCCGCGCCCCCACCACCACCGCATCAACGGTGCGGCCCCGTTTGAGTCGCGGAGGATAGGGCGAGTGGCGCATCGCCATACCAACACTCCTCTTCCTCCGCGACTCCACCTCGGCTGCAGCGGTAGGTGGGGAGGACACACCTCTCACCGCAGTCCACCAACACACATCCGAAGTGGGCTCCCCAAGCCCACTCGGAGTGGCCACCTCGGGCCGGCCCTCCACCTTGGACCAGCCATATGGGTTCCTCTTTGTTTCGCCGTGGGTGACCAAGCCACGGCTTCTAAGCCCCCGCCATGACAAGGCGGGAACCCGTTCGGGGGGGAACTTTTATTGGCTGTTGTGAATGAATGAATAATTAATTTAACAAGCATCTGGTGGGTGCTATAGTGAGACTCTCTTTGGCGGCAATTTAAAGTATGCGCATTTAAACCCTTACTTTCCCCTACGTTTCAGTTATATCAACCCTTTTGAGTACTTACTGTTCGTCAGCTATGTATTCTAAACACAGTATTGAAACAACATTCCTGCTTATCTTATAATAAAGATCTCTTGTTATCTAAACGAAGAAAAGATGAAGTTGGCAAAAGTCATTCTTTGGTTAATAAATATTTTTATTACATTGGACCACTTCTTTATAATAAAATCAATAAAAAGACTGAATTGTACTGTTTAAATAAAAGGAAATGCAAAATTAAATTATTTTAGTTTCTTCATAAGTTAAACTTTGAAGAAACTGAAGCATCACTTACTACAAGTTAATATTACTTACACACCCTCTTACACACGCTCATGCATTCAACATATTATACACCAAGAGATACATATTAATACACATTATACCATTTTTCTTTACATTAAAACACATTTTGTTATGTTTAAGATTCACATTTAATCTGTTGTATACCTTCTATTTAAGTTATACTTATGTTAGTCTGTTAATATGTAATAGGGAAGAGCACTGTGATCTGAAATACATATACTCGTATATATTTATCTAATTCAGACACAGATATTCCATCATTCTTTGTGAACTAGGTACAGATTATAGAATAGTTATTAATAAATGTGATAGTTATGGAAGTGGTGAAAATGGAGTATTATTATAGGGTTATCTGTATAGTTTTCTCATCTGGTTGGTTTCTATAAATATATAATTATAAATTAAAATGAAAAGATAAATATACATAAATATCAATAAAATAAAATAAATACAAAAAATACACAAATAAATAAAGTTCCAACGAGATGGAAGCCCTCGGCAGAGGTGACCAAACGGCCGAGGGTTAGGAGGAAAGGGAAAGAAACCGACGGACGATGCGGGCGGTATCGAGGACCACTGCCTTCTGCATTTGAGCCCGGCGCGGTCCGTCACGGAGTCCATTCGCAGAGACGACTACAGGAATAATTTCGGTCGGCCGACTACCCCACATGTCAGTCACCTCGTGAGCCAGGTCCAGATATTTTTTTCGCTTATCTATTTCGGCTTTCACGAGGTTCTCGTCATACGGAATGGTAATGTCGACCAAAAATATCCTTGACTGTGCCCGGTCCATCAGCACAATATCAGGCTTATTCGCAAGAATAGTCCTGTCTGTGATGATGGCCCGGTCCCAGTAGAGCCTGGCGCGGTCATTTTCGAGCACGGCTTCCGGCAAATACTTGTAATACGGCACTTTACGGTCCACGAGACTGTATTTCAGAGCGAGCTCCTGGTGTAGAATTCTGGCTAGTAGATTGTGCCTGTGCAAGTAATCAGAGTTAGAAAGCGCCGAACAACCGGAGGTGACATGCCTAAGTGACTCCCCGGAATGGCGACAAGCTCAACAGACATCGACGGTGCCATCCTTTAGGATGTATCTCCGATAGTTGTTGGTCTTAATAACCTGATCCTGTATTGCTCTGACAAAACCCTCGGTTTCCCCGAAGAGGTCACCGAAACGTAGCCAGTTGAGGGAGGCGACTGTATCTACGAAGGGCTCATGTAGAGCCTTGTAGTACCTCCCGTGGAGCTCCTTCTCCTTCCATACGGTCTCCCGGTCGGAAATGCTAAGCACTGCTGGGTCCTGCCATTGCTCGTTGGCTAAGGATAGAGGGGTAAGCCCTTTATCACTAGAAATGACGTCATTATAGAATGGATCATCCGATCTTGATAAGAAGTATTGACGGAGACTGCACACTTCGCGATTATGCATGGTGAGCGCGCTCAGAAAGCCACGCCCACCATGCTTTCGCGGCAAGTACAGCCTCATTACCGATGATCTCGGATGATGCATCCTATGGGACGTCATGGTAGTGCGGACTTTTCTATCCAGGGCGTTAAGCTCAATTTGAGTCCACCTGAGTATGCCAAAGGTATACATGAGGACAGGCATGACCCAGCAGTTATATGCGTATGACTTATTCACACCGGACAAAAGGCTGTTAAGCACTTTGGTCAAGCGTGCATAAAACACGTCGCAAAATGACTGTTTCATACCAGCCTCATCGATACCGATGTTCTGTGACATACCCAGGTATCGGTATGTTTCAGCCTCGGAAAGGGTCCTTAAGTTGACGGGCATAGACAAGTATATGCCCTCAGAGTTAGCAACCCTTCCCCTTTCAACATGGAGTACCGCACACTTATCCGTCCCCAGCTCCATTCCAATGGAATTGCTAAATTCACAAGTGATGTTTAGCAGTTCCATAAGATGGGAGCGACTGGAGGCGAATAACTTGAGGTCATCCATATAGAAAAGGTGGGTCACTTTTGTCCCGCCTTTCCGTAGCTGAAATCCCCTCCCGGAGCCCTCCAGTAAGGTACTGAGAGGGTTCAGAGAGAGGCAGAACCAGATTGGACTCAGACAATCTCCCTGGAAGATACCCCTTCTTATCCTTATGTGGTTCTCCGCAGCCATCATCCGCTCGCCCAGATGACAAAGGATCGTACTCCACTGCCCCATACACTGCTTGAGGAAGTCTCTAACTGTACAGTCAATCTTGTACAGCTCGAGGACCCTCTTTAGCCATGTATGGGGCACCGAGTCGAACGCCTTTCTGTAGTCTATCCAGGCGGCAGAGAAGTTCCGACGGTTGCATTTTACCACTTTGCCTACGACCGCGTCAATGAGGAGTGATTCCTTGGTTCCACGACCACCGCCCCGACATCCATTTTGAGCGCGTGACCTGGTTTAGCTCCAGGTGACGAGTGATTCTCGCGCTCAAAATGGATGTCAGTGTCTTATATATGGTGGGTAGACACGTGATGGGGCGGTATTTGCTCGGGTCTGTGGTATCCTGATCTTTAGGAACCAAGTGAGTGATCCCAGTAGTGAAGAGGCTCGGGAGCGACTTCTGGTGGAGAGCCTCTTGAAACAGTCGGGCGAGCACAGCGTGACACACTATGAACCCCTTCAGCCAGTAATGATGCAGCCCGTGTGAGCCCCGAACTTGTACAGTCCGGGGCCCTACGGACCGCCTCAGCCACGTCTTCCGGCGTTATGGTGATGGGGTGCATAGGCGTAACGCTCATACCCTGGCTCGCCACAACTTCCATCCAAGGGCCCTCGCTGTGGTTTACGGGCTCTGACCATAGGCCACGCCAGAATGCGATAATGTCAGCTTGATCCGGTCATTGGTCCGCTCCACATACCTTTGGTCGCTCCAATAATTTATAGAGCCTCTTCTGATCATTCTGGAAGAGACGATTCTGGTTGAATCGCCTTGACCTCTCGGTAAATCGTCGAATCCACTTCCCCCAAGCAGCGATCTTTTGCTTCAGGTCTTCTATGCGCTCCGTTAGTTTCTGCGTGATATGCGGCTGGGACAAACTGATATTTGCCCCAGCAAACGCTATCCTAACAGTGCGCACAATCCTCGGTCTATTATTACCCGACCTTGTCAAAATGTCCGACCGTGTCAGAAGCTTGTCAGTCTGCCGATAAGGGCCCTTGCCTGCGATACGTTCTTCAATTCTTTTTCTCCAGGCTGGGATGGCGCTACTTTGTGTAGTAGCGTGTCCAGCCATGGGAAGTTTGGCGCCAATAATACGGCAAACTGCCACTGCGGCGCCAAAGAGAATTGAGTCCGTCTCGCAATGATCCCGGCTGTCTTCAAAATAGGTCACCAGCATTGGGTTAAGAGCCCTCACGACAGCCCGATTTCGCTTGCTTAGGGGTATGCGGGGAAGTCGCGGTCGATTTTCGAGAGGGGTGTTGGGCGTTTCCAAAATCACCTCTTTCAATATACTCCTCATTTGCTCTAGTTCGTGAGAGACTATTTCATCGTCGTTCGAATCAACCACAACTGGAAGATCCATGGTGGCTTCCTCGTGTGGATGGAGGTCTGTCGGATGTGGAGCTGCATCTCCAGCCATAGCCGATTCATTCTACGATGGAATAGCCTCACGTCGTAGTCGTTCGAGTTCGGCATCATCAAATATTTTCGAGCGCATGATGTACCGACCTCGGTCTGCCAGGTTTTGTTCCGTGACGGGGATAGAAGGCTCCAGCTCAGCAAAAAAGCAATGCATCGGAGCCCTATACGCTATTCCCACAGTTTCTTCCCCTTTCGCCCTATAGTACGCCCGCAATGCGTTTTCGTTCATAGATTTTGTCCAACGCATGCGACGTGCTCCACTAGCGGCGGGTGCCGCTTGCTGAGTCCGAGAAGACCCAGCCGACACCAAGCCTTCTGGTGGGGATGATGGATGCTTGGGGCTGCTAGGTGATCGTGCAGCTCCTCGCGCTCGGCTGGCGGCCCGCATGCTGCCGCGTCCAGCGCCAGCTCCAGACGCGCCCCGGCGACCCCCAGGCAGCGGCCCTATGCGCGTTCCTTTCTGTGCCATCATCCATTTTATGGGCGCCAAATAACGGGAGACGCCCAAGCCCGGCACCGTTTCGTGGTTGGCTCATATGCACAAACGTACCTTTGCACCCACAATTTTGCCTAGGCACGGCGCTCACACCTCTTGGTGCTGACTGACTGCGCTGACGTAGCAGTTTTGTCACATAACTGTTACGTCAGCGGGCGATGGGGTCGTCCCTTCCCTACGCCTATGGAGTATTATTATTATAATTAATTATGTGTAAAATATAAGAATCTACATATATATATATGTATCTATATATTAGAAACTACTAAAAGAAATCTAATATAAAATACAACGACTGTTAGAAGTGAGAGATAACTGGATGACAGGTTTCAAAATAAATTTAGAAAGCTGTCGAATGAAAAGTGTTTTTATTCTGTTGACGAATTTCTAACAAATAAAACAAACTAAAATAATTTTATATAATATTTAGATATATTATTAATGTAAAATAATTAAAATTATTTTCAAATGTAATCGTTCAATTTCGAAAAATTATGTGTAACTATATTAATTCCGGAAAATGTACGCAATATTATATAATTTAACTCCTCCTTTTCCTTTTCAACATTGGAGATACAAATGCTCTTCGGGTCTACAAATCTTTGTTGTTATTATTCCACAAGTTTTAACTAAGTAATTTGTTTGTCTTTATAATGCATACAACAAAGTCGTGGAATAATTAAATTTGAAATCTGTTTTTCCAGCGTCTATCTTTCCTTTCTATTTCAGTGTGTGAAGTCGGAGGGAATAAACTGAATTTGGTTAAAATACAAGAGTACGATTTACCATTCCATGTCCGCATACATCACCAAGTAGGATTGTAGTCAAGCACTAGCTCATAATAATATAAAATTTCTTAAGGTAAACATATTATACAAGATAACAATCGTGTGCGTATTTTTTTATAAAAAAGATGTGACAATCAAACTTACAGCCCACCTGGTAAGCAGCACCTGCAGCCAATAGACATCTGCAGACAACTTCAAACAAAACAGGCTACAGATGCGTTGCCCCTCTGAAGACTAAGATGAAATGCCTCACTGATGCTCTCTACACTCTTAATTTTGGAACGAACAAAAGCAGAAATAGGTAAGAGCGTGTGTACCCACCCGGACGGGCTCCTAGACAGAAAAGAATCCAACCGACTAGAAGATGATGTATGCATCCATTTACGTATGCTGTGTTGTGGATCACTAACCTCGAATTTGTTGACCGGTATGTTTACACAGGTCCAATTAAACGAATAAGTAGACTTAAAATTAACATAGATCAAATTTGGTCAAATTTGGCTGCTTGGTTAACCGAGTTTAAAAAAAACATTATTCTATTATTATTAATGCGTATGACTTTTAATCTTAATGTTCACCGATTTCTCTGAAACGGCTGAAGAGATTCTTTTTTTTATTAAATAAATTGTACTTCAAGAGTAGTCTCACATAAATCTAAAGAAAAAGTTTCATCCCCAAAGATGGAAATTAAGGAAATATTTTTAATATATTATCTATTTAAAAGACAATCTGTTTGTTGCTTTGACCTTGTGATATTACTAAGACGACTTATAATATTTTAACAATACTTTAACTATACTTATGTTAATAAGTAAAGCCTACTTCAAAAACTAAAAAAACAAAAAACACATAATTGCTTCTGCAGTTGGGGCCTGACTCATAATTATTCGAAGGTTATTTATATATTTGTTTAATGCTTCAGGACACTTTTGGACAATATTCAAGATTATTGTTGCCTGAAACTTGCAAGTCTGAATTCATTTCGAATGAACAAAGCGAACTAAGTTCAAAAATAAAAGATAATATATGAAACTATATAAAACAAGATTCTTTTCTTATGCTAACAGGCTTCACAAAAGGAGACTAAAATTACATGAATCAAGTAAATAGACAAAAGTGTAGGAATATATGCAAGTAAAGGTAAGTGGCCCACTGTTGGACTCGGAATTACTGTCATTTCTCAAAGGGATTTAGGCAAGGAAATGTCCGCCGCGCTACTGCAATGGATGTGGTGGACATCACATGCCTAAGAAATTCAGGTTTTCTCACGTTTTTCCTCCACCGCCATCACGTGATAGATCAGCACTTAACAAACCCCAAGCGGTCACATGCGACTGCGGCTATATTCTATCAAATCTCTAGCGGTCTCATGAGACCATACCCACCCACAGCGCTTTAACCCATAAAAACTTATATTTACAGACTAATTTTCTTTGAAGAAGTTTGGTATTATAGGCTCAATGTGAAATTTCCTATCCTCTAATACAATAAAAGTAGTTAGTTTATGGTTTTTATTTATAATCTACGTTCATTTCGTACGCCTATTTCATGTAGCGTCTTATTGTGTTGATTTTTGGAATTTTATAAAGTTTTATTAGTGTTTAATATAGTGTTTTACTATAAAATCGCGAGCGGGCGATGTTAGTCATTTTAGCTGGCGGCTGAGGGGTTAAGATTACAATGTACAATTTCATTGATGTTGGTAGGAGTTGAACCAGAGTTGCTCGCCTTTTGTGAAATTTACAATGATCGCTTAGCCCCTGAGCCACTGAATGAGCGAAACTGAGCCAAATGGATAATTATAATCGGATAGAAAATACCTTAAATGCTTAAGATATTTTTACATCTTTAAAAAAGTAAAGTTACAGCCTATATACGTCCCACTGCTGGCCACTCAGGCCTCCCTCATTTCTGAGAGGGTTTAGGGCAAAGAAGTGTCCGCCGCGCTGCCCAAATGCGTGTTGACGAACTTCACATGTCTTCGAAATATTTTTTTTTCTTATTCCTCAGACATGCAGGTTTCCTCACGATGTTTTCCTTCACCGCCGAGCACGTGGTAAATCAGCACTTAAAATTGCAATTAACAATTTCATTGGTGCCGGCGGGGATCGAACCCGGGTTACTCGCATTCTGTTATATTTACAGCGAGCGTTAACCACTGAGCTACCACGGCTCTAACATCTTTACAACTTTACAACTTTAGAATTAGAATATGCCCGTATTATCATAATAATGTGAATAGATTCAGTGCTAAGAAAACAGACAATTTTGTTCGTGTCGCAGCTAAATACAGTATAGTAACGCTTATAGTCAACCGTCAGCTGTTTCACTTAAGTTTCACAACCCCTTAATTTGTTTAACTTCGCGTTTCGTGGCAAACTTCCAAATATCGAACGACGAAAAGTTCACCGGTTTTTACAAAAAAGCTTATTAAACACTCAAAAGTCTGGTAAAAAATCCGAAAGTTGGAAAATTGAAAGCTTTGGATCGAAGTTGAATTGGCTTGATCAGGCTTTGACCCTGCACCTTTCTAATTAGAAAAATTATTAAAGTGGGTATACATTTTGTGGAAACTTGATGCGTAATAAAAGTCCACTGCTGAATATAGGTCCTCCCCATAGAATTGCCATAGTTGCCACGCTTGGTAGAAGGGTTGGCAAACGCAGTTTTTATAATTTCTAGTTAAAATCAGGAAAATGCTGCGGCCCATCGCACGTTTTAGTTTCCTTCTGTCGCCTCTTACGAAACCCACGACACGAAAATATGAATTAGACGATATATCTTATACCGCCACCTAACGGTTAGTCACTGAGGGACCAGATACCAATTATATTATCAATAGCAATCCCTTTCAATCAGACATCAACCTTGACATTGAACTCCTTAACGGACACCATACGCAAATTACGTACTAGTACGACTTTATTAACTCTTTTTGTATTAGAAATTAGCTTTTGAAAATGTTACTTCCATTACGTTGTTAAGTTCTCTCTTCTTTGCCGACCCTTCAGAGTCCACTGTTGGACATGGCCCTCTTTGAAAAGAGGATTTGCCTTAGTCGTCAAGCTTGGCAGATGATTGCAGTACCAAACGTCTCGCACGTTTGAGGCTGCTGCTTGTCGCTGGTCTGGGTATTTTGCAAGAGGATACTGTAGGTAAGAAGTAGTTTAAGAGTTTCAAAATATGTGTGTAACATAAGCAAAACAAGTTTCGGATTTGATCACGTCTAATTTTAACTTTTTTAACACTCAACCTAGTTTCTTTAGCAAAATTATGCGATGTAATTATATAATATTAAAAATCATTACGTGACATAATCTTTAGATTCCATTGCCTTAGAAGCTAGATTTTTTCACTTTTAGTTTATATCTAATACGAATTTCAATTTCACAAAATAAGAAACTTGATAAAACGGACTTGCTGATACAAAAAGCATCCGACAAGAAGCAACTTTTCAAATATAAAAATTTCATAAACACTCACGCCTGTCACCCAGAGGGGTAGGCAGAGACTACAGACTTCCATTTGGCACGATCCTGACACACCTCTCGCCTCCTTCACATCCATACATCTACGCATGCATGCTCGTCGGTTAAGGGTACTCCTAATTTGGCCCGTTTTCAATAAATCGCCAATTTGGTCGATAAATTTTCGCCT